TGCCCAGAAGCAAAATCTCAACAGATTGAGAAAATGCTCTGGAAAATGGCAGTTTTACCACTTAATTTTATGAAATCAGAGGAGAACACACAGGGCAGTTACACAAATCCATTGGTGATAGATTAGGGAGGTGGGAGAAAGTGAAGCAGGGGAACCTCTGGGACTGGGTGAAAAGTAAAATGAACAGCCCGGCCAGGTGACTCAGTGGGTTGGAGCATCACCCCATCCACCAAAGAGTTAGAAGCTTGAATCCTGTTTGCAGGCATATGGGAAGAAACTGATTGATGTTTGATGGATGATTGTCTCTCACAGTGATGTCTCTGTCTCTCTCTCTTGCTGGGTAGATAACAGTCAATAATTATCGTGATAGCAATAACAAGGAGATTTGTGGTCTTCCTTCTGGTGTTGGTTGTGCTTTGAGGTGTCCAGAAAAAAAGGAACTACTTTGTTATTCTAAAGGCATGTTATCAGGTGTGTTATGCTACATGCAAAAAGACTACAGACAGGTTCAATTAAGGTAAAGATTGACCTGTGTTAGGGAAAAACACCACCCTGGGATATTACTACCAGTCAGAAACAGCTTTTAGTATGAAAGTTTTAATTTCAGACCATCTTATGTGGTTACTTTTTGTCTGTAAGTTTGCAAGGCCCACCACACAAGTGTCCTCTGAATTTGTCAGGTTTAGTATGTGGCCTCTTTTTTATCCACTGCCTCATGCTCGGCTCCTGAAGGTGCCTGCTTGTTTCTCTTCCTGAGTTGGCCACTGTTGATGCTTAATACTTATACCTACTCATTCCCTGGGGATGGCAAAATGGTGATAGCCTACTTCTATCATTTGTCTTTCTTTATTAGTCCAAATATGTTTATAAAAATGTGTTCAGTGGGATGGCTTATCTAGGAAAGGCAGGGTAATGCTCAATTCTTTCCCCTTACTTGCCAGTTTGCAAGAAAGTGAAGTGGTCCCTCATATCCTCTAAGGATGACAAATTCTTTTTTTCTTTTTTAATATCATGAGAATTCATGCACTTAAACATATTTGATGGATTTCAAGCCACTGGAATTATTGTACTTATTAAAGCTGATGTCACTCCACTTTTGTCCATGGGAACATCAGGTGAACTCCTGTGTCCTTTTGATGTGACCCTTCACATTTGATAACTTCCTAGTGGCACTGTTTCATTGGAAAGAGCTTCACTTTGGTGCCAAGTGACTGCCTTCAGGGGTCTTTGTCACATGTGTTCCACTTCCAGAGGCTTGTAATAAGCCTGATGGAACAAAACCATACACAGCCTCTGGTTCTACCTATCTAACAAAGAGTTCTAAGAATGTGTCATTTCTGCTTTTGCATCATTACAACTGTTAGGTAGAGATTTACAAACCCAAGAAAGAACATGCTGATGAGTTTGCCAGATTTAGCATGAAAATGATGCTATAGCCTATTCAAGTTACTGGGTGACTATTCATTTTCCTTTCCACTCTCACGCTTGCCATTCAGCTCTGTTGAACTACCTGCATTCACGCATGCTACTTATTTAGCCCTTTGTCAGTCTAAGTAAGCTTAGCTATCATTTCCTTTTGGAAGCTTCCCTACACCTACCGATCTCTCGTGTGTTACCATAGCATTTTGGCTTTCTCTTCTCATAGCACTTATCTCACTGACTACAATTGTCTGTTTAACCATCTGCCCACTTCCTTTGCTACCCGCAAGACTGAGTGGCAGGGCCTGTGGCTTGTTCACCTCCATTTCCTCAGTTTCTGCACGGTGTCCAGCATATTAGTAGCGTATTAACAGATAATCGTTGAACAAATGAGTGAAAACCAGACTTGTCCGTGTCATTCTCCTTTTTACACACCCACTGCTCCTGGTTGACACCTCTACTAGCGCTCTCATTACCCTGCATTGAATCTACCCATTTCATAATTCTAATTCCCTCCTCTTCACATGTCCCTACCAAAGTGACTTTTGGAAAGTTTGGGGTATCCCAGACCCCCATTAAAGCTTTCCTTAGCAGGCACACATGACATCCTTTCATCCCCAAGGCCCCTTCCTTGGGCCCATGTCATCACAGGGAATACCGGGACTGGTCCTTACTTTCCTGTTTACCTCAGTCACTGCCAGAAGCCCAGGTTTCCCCTTTCCCTCACCCCATACCCCACAGTGACACTGGAGCTCCTTTCCTCATGTTTGTTGTCTCCACTCTGTTGAATACCATGTTTTTGCTATAGGAATTTACTGACTCATTTTTGTCTCCCTCCTGGATTACTATGTGAGCATACAAACATGATATTATTTCTTCCATCTTTTTTAAAAAGTCCTCACCCAAGGATTTTTTTAAAGATTTTATTCATTTATTTTTAGAGAGGGAATGGAGGGAGAAAGAGAGAGAGAGAAACATCAATGTGCGGTTGCTGGGGGCTGTGGCCTGCAACCCAGGTATGTGCCCTGACTGGGAATCAAACCTGCGACATTTTGATTCGCAGCCTGTGCTCAATCCACTGAGCTATGCTAGCCAGGGCCCAAGGATATGTTTTTTAAAAATTGATTTTAGAAAGAGAGGGAGAGGGACGTTGGGAGAGAGGGAGGGAAGGAGGGGGAGTGAGAGAGATCAATGTGAGAGAGAAACATCGATCAGTTGCCTCCCACATGCACCCCAACCAGGGATCAAACCCACAACATTTTGGTGTATGGGATGACTCTCCAACCAACTAAGCCACCTGACTGGGCTACTTCTCCCATCTTATAAACAAGAACTAAATCACACTGCTTTGTCCCTCTTCTAAGTGGCCAAACATCTCCTTAGAGCTGTACACTGTCTGTAAAGGCAGAACCAAGCCAGGGCCCACCTGCCAGGCCCTGTTTCTCCCTCTCTGTTCCAGCCCAACATGGAGCAACTGCCCTCCTTCTGATGGCTGGCCCCTGCTACGGGTTCTAAAGGGCTTTTTATTCTGAGGTATAATTGCAGGTACTTTCTGCCAATTGGCCTTCCTCTCTTCAGTGCTTTATCAGATTCTGTCTCAGATCTTATGTTCTCTGAGCAGGGAGGGAGCTGAGAATGCTCCAAACGGTGGCCTTTCTGTTCCCCCTGGCCTCTTGGTCAAAGCTGGTGGGCTTATACATGTGTCAGGCAAAAATGAAGTTAGAGATATAGGAGACTTCCTGTTCCAGTGGTCACCATGCCTCCTGGCAGAATCCCGCACTTCCTGCTGTCACACATGCCACTGCACAGGAGAGCAAACCACAGAGCTATAAATCTCTCCACTTGCTTTTGCCAACTGCAACATTGAGTCTCTTCAATGGAAGAAAGTCCTGCTATCAGCCCATCAGCCCCTTACTTTTGTGCTCAGTTCTCTCCAGCAGAGCAAGCACATGGTATCCATGCAGGCTGGCCAGGTGGCACGCACTGAGCAAAGGGCACCTAAAACTAAAAGATAGGGAACTTGAGGAGAGTCCTCACTTCTTTCTCCCTGCCTCCAGGGGACAGAAGGGAAGTTTACTGATACTGAGGACTTATTAGAATAGCATGGATATGGTCACTTGCAAATATCTCTTTCCCCAGGCCTCATACCCAAAAAGGTAGCTATCCATTTATCTGATAGGATTTGCACATCTTCTTGGAACTGCCAGCAGCAAACATTTTATGTCAAGGGTGAGTCAGGAGCTGAGGAGGCTTATGTCCTTCTCAGTAGCTCTAGTCTGCCATTATCTCAGCTGGTTTCTTTCCAGTATCATTCACTTTTCTTTGTTGAGCGTATAATAAGCTTTGCCTGATCATCTTACCTCAAGACTTGACTCTTTCTAAGATCTTTATTGCACTAACAAAATTCCTTTCAATTGTTACAGTGTATTCTCAACATGGAACTGATAGTTTTAAGCCAGACAATTCCTGCCACCCTACCCCTACCACCTTAATGATAAACAAAATACAATTATTTTCAGATGTCCTGTAGGTCATCTTGATCCCTGATTGAGAAACACTGTGATTGGGAGGAGGGAGAGGAAATGCATGTGTCTTCCATGTTTAAAAGTTATCCCTTGCCCTGCTGAGTATAGCTCAGTGGATTGAGCGCGGGCCTGCAAACCAAAGAGTCACCAGTTCGATTACAAGGCAGATGCCTGGGTTGTGGGCCAGGTCCCCAGTAGGGGGCGCATGAGAGGCAACTGTACATAGATGTTTCTCTACCTCTCTTTCTCTCTCCTTTCCCCTCTCTAAAAAATAAATAAATAAATCTTAAAAAAAAATTCCTTGACCCCAGAGATCTCCCCTTTACAGTGACACATCTCTAAAGAATTGGCCACACACCCCTCTCTACTTTTTTTCTTCACATTCATTACTGATCCTTTCACCCTTACTGGAGTTCAAATCCATTCCTACAGCACCTTAGCTGTGTGACCTTGAGCACATTAGCTAATTTCTCATTTTTTTCATACATAAAATGGACATACAATAGTTGTGTCTCCTATACCATAGTTTTGGAGATTAAATGGGTTATCTCCTCTCCAATGTGTATGATTTTTCTTTTCTTGTTGAGTAATTCTCTAGAAGTTAAATAACAATGTTACATGATACTAACAATGGTAGGCAATCATGATTTGCATCTGATTTTAATGTATGATACTGGCTTTGAAACCGAGATAGTGATAAGAAAGCATCCTTCTTCTTCATTACTAAGGTTTTGTTTTTTTTTTTAAGACCTGAGTATAAATAAGTTTGTATTATTGTACATACCTGTGCTGCACTGATTGTATAATTCTGGTCCTTCGACCTGTGGGAATGAACCCTATTACCACACTCTTTGATAATGACACATCCTATAATCATCGAAGAAAGCAGAGTTGAAGATGGCACACTTTAATCCCAAACAGGGTGGACTTTGCATTTCATTGTTCAAATAGCTGATTTACTTCTTTTTGCTGTCCTTGCTATGAAATAGGTTCTTAGCAGGGTCTCTAAAGCAAGAGCAATTGGTAGTAACTCCTTGTTGAATTGTCTCTCCACAGGCCTGGCGCAAGCGCTGGTTTGTCCTCCGACGGGGCCGCATGAGTGGCAACCCTGACGTCTTGGAGTACTACAGGAACAAACACTCGAGCAAGCCCATTCGTGTGATAGACCTCAGCGAGTGTACAGTGTGGAAGCATTCAGGCCCTGGCTTCGTTCGGAAGGAGTTTCAAAATAATTTCGTGTTCATTGTTAAGACTACTTCTCGTACATTCTATCTGGTGGCCAAGACCGAGGCAGAAATGCAGGCGTGGGTATACAGCATCACTCAGGTCTGCAACTTCGGCCACCTGGAGGGTGGTGCAGGTGAGAACAGAGTCATGATTCCTATGTGCTGACGGCGGGTGCCTGGGACACAGCACATGCACTGGAGAGCTACTATGGGAAAACCATAGAAGGTAGCAAGCCTACCTCTGAGGGTGTTTTGGCAGGGTAATTTGTATCAGAACTGCCCCCCCCCAAATACAGTACCAGAAATTTCTCCCTTTTACCAGGTGTTAGGCTTCAGGTTTACATGTACCATGCACTGAACATTATAGGCAACATCAAAAAGGCTTTGAAGCTGCTCTGTGCCTTTGCTCTCATAAGTCACAGAGAATGCATTCAGTGAAAGTAAAACATGGGTGAGGACGTCTCATGGGGCTCTGATTTTCCCAGTGCTGCTACTGCTGATTTTCTAGAAATATTAAATATCACCATCTTTCATTAATTCATGGAACTGCAGCTTTTCTGTTACCTATTGTATTACTTAGGAGTAGGTAGTAGAAAGACAGAACTTGGCTACTTATCATAGGCAGGGAAAAAATCCTCATATCTGTAATTGGTTTTAGGTCTCTGCAAGGGAAATTAGGTCCAAATTTGCTCTGTTCCATTTCTGGGCAGTGGGAGCAAATGAGTCATGAGGTTCTTTCTCCTCTCTCTCTTATTCTCACTCTCCCTTTCTCATTCACAGACACTGACCATTCTATGCAATAAAGCAGATAGATTGCACCTAGGGTTCCAATTCATTCCCCTTCATGGGTTTTGTTGTTGGGCAGCATGCCCTGATCCTCGAACCATAAAACTTTCCATCTTATTTCTTTTAGCCCCTTACTCCTAAATTCCATGGTCAACAGTTGCTTCAACATTTCTACTGTTTCTGAATGCTTAGCATTGGCCGCTGAAATATCTATGTTAAACGCTAGGTGGTGGTGGAGAGTCAGAGTTGCATCTTTACGAGCATGTGAGAGAGTGTTTCCTGAGGACAAAACTCTCTCTTTTTTTTAATGAACCGGGGAAGCTTATTAAGTGAAGCTATTCAGTTACATTGTTGAGCTTTGACAGCACTCAAATGAAAGGAAATGAAGTGCTGACGAGTTCTTTACCCTTGCTACAACAGATAAAGTTTATTAGCAAAGTGGCAGTGAAGGCACCCTGGCTGGATTCTCACATTGGCAAATGGCCAGAGGCTCCTTGACCAACTCCTCTAGCTTTGCTGCCCACTCTTTGCCACCCTAGTCCCTACCTTCAGCCTAAACTGGATGTATATTCATGTATTATGTTATGTGTTTTCTCTGTTTCTTTCCTCATCTAGGAGTTATCCTAAGACATAGATACATAACATGTTTCCCAGTATTCAAAGAGGAACAGGAATGAGTAAGGCACCAAGCAGGAAATGGAAAGTTCTGGCATGAAGCTGGAGGAAGCCTGAAACCCCCTATGACCTCTTTTATTCCCTGTATTTCCCCTTAGTTTTTAGAAGGATGTGAGGGCAGAGTCCTCTTCATTGGAGAACCACACCCGAAGGGGTTTCTTGTGGCTTTTCACATATGTTTGGTTCTGTCTACAGCAGCCACAGGTAGTCAGCATACTGTGCAGACTTTGGCCAGGAACATTGCTAAATGCTTTTGCATATTAGCTCATCTTATTCCCTAGACCAATTCTGTGGCATATGTACTAGTATTTGCATCTCCACTTCACAGAGAAGGAAACCTGGAACAGGAGGGTAATTTTCCCAAGGTCACAACAGCTAGATAATAGGGCCTGAACTTGAACCCAGGTGTTTCTGGGCCACCCTGACTCAGGAATTCAGAACTCCTACTAACTGGGTTCAGAGGGGAAATAAAAGGGGGCTTTTTATTGGGGGTTTCTGAATGTTATGTTCCTTGTGAAATGTGGGCTTTACTAGTCACCACAACACCCCCTTTTTAATCTTCCTTTTCCTTATATGTCATTAACAGTCAATCTTTAACAGTGTTCTTTATTCATGTTACTTGTCTATCCCTTCTGGTGGACAGTAAGGGCTGAGTCTTTGTCTTGGCTGTAGCAGAAGAGTTAGAACAGTTCTGGGCACATAGTAGGTGCAAAGTAGATATTCTATATACATAGACATGAACAGATATCTATATATGCATATATACATGTATGCAGAAATGCACATGTAAGTACATACATATGTGTTTGATATGCATAAATATGTGTATATATGTATATTTGTTGAGTGAATAAACAGTGATGCAGGGCTGGGGCTGAGGGCCATAAAGAAGCTGTGTATAGACTGTCTAACTGCAAATTTTTATACCAAGGATGCTTCTTTTCTTTTTTTTTTCTTTTTTTTTAACTCTTAATTGATTCAACACTTCACTCTTAAGAACATTGGCCTTCTTTCCCAGACATTGTTTATAGCTTGGGGAAGTGGTCTCCTCCATCAGTACAAACACCAGCTGTAATTTGCATCTTTTATCTGGCTTCTTTAGATGCTGTTTGAGAAATTGTGAGTGAGTGTTATAGCCATTCTTAAACGTTAACGTGGGAAATGATTTCTCCAGCAGATTCCATGGAGAGCCTCTCTCACACGCCCTGCTCCCTCCAGCCATCCTCTGCCAGCTCCCTTCACACTGCCCATGCTGTCAGCTCCTCCTTGCCAAGAGATGACCCAAACTCTAATACTGTAGCCACTGAGGAAACCAGAAGTGAGTCAGAGTTTCCCTTACTTCCTGATTATCTGATTCTGTCCAACTGTGAGACTGGAAGACTGCACCATGCCAGGTATGCTTATGCACCAAACTCCCTCTGAGCCAGGCCTCCTACACACTCTCCCCTGTTTGCCGTGCCCACACTGCCTCCTCTCTCAGGGTCTGTCAGTGAGATGTGCTCACTAGCCTGACTGAATCAGTCTGTTTAGCTGCAGCAGGTTTTAGTGGGTATATCTGCCCTCACTTCTCTTCCTGCTACTGACAGGGTGGGGACAGATCATTATCAACCACTATGAAGGATGAAATATGTGATATACTAAACAAAATGAGTCACGTATTTCAGCATTGTGGCTTTCATTTCTAACCTTGCATTTTCATATAAAAAAAATCTACAAACCATTTTTTCCCCCTACATCAAGGTGTTGGTGTGACCGAGCGTTGTAGAGGGAATGTGGCTATATAAGTAAAATAAAAGGTAATATTGGAGGAATGGGAATGAGGCCAGTATGGGTTTTGTGGTGGGTAGATAGCTTTCTTTAGATTTCTGCCAAGGGAGTATCAGCAGTGTTGCTGTGGTACCTACTACAGCTGCCAGGGACCTGCTACTTTCGGTCAAATTTATATACTTTTCTTCCCTCAGTTTACCCACCAGATGTGACAGCTGGTCAAACTCAGACCGTTCATTGGAACAGACTTCATCTGATGATGTTTTTGTTGATGGCCTGCAGTCACTGCACTATGTTAACTTGGCCGACCCCTTAACCCGTCGGAATGGATCTCAGGAGGTGCCTTACTATGCAAGGCCTCGGAATGGATCTCAGGAGGTGCCTTACTATGCGAGGCCTCGGAATGGATCCCAGGAGGTGCCTTACTATGCGAGGCCTCGGAATGGATCTCAGGAGGTACCTTACTATGCGAGGCCCCGGAATGGATCTCAGGAGGTGCCTTACTACGCAAGGCCTCGGACTTCCCTGATATGCAATAGAGATAGCAATGGGCCATACAGGGACCACGTTTCTTCACCACTGCTGGAAACTTCCTTAAATTCCACCATTCAGGTAGATAAAAACCAAGGTTCTTTACCCTATGGGGCAACAACACTAGACCTTGTGCCCAATGTGCCACCTCCTCGCCCCCCTAAACCAATCCATCTCTCTGAACGGCGCCAAGAGGAGCGGCTCCAGTGGAGTGGACACAGCAGTATCAAGAAGCCAGAATGTACTACGGCACCAAGAAGAATTTCTCTCTCTGGCTTAGATAACATGAGACCCTGGAAAGGTAAGTGTTGGATGCTAATATTCAGGTACAGGGAGAAGCCTGGCTCCTCTTAACTCTTTGGGTCCCGTAGCTGCTAAAAGAGTCAGAGCCCTGGTCCCTTAGGCATGCCTCTGACCACGTGATGGCCTCCCCACCTGACACTAAGCTCCAGGTGTTTGTATTGATTCACTCTGGCACCCACCCGGTACAGAAGGTGATATCTTTTATGTCAGTTCTGTTTGATTCCATTCTTTGCCTCTCACAAGTGACCTCTGAGACAACAGAACAGCTCTTATATTTTCAGTGATCCCATCAGCTTCATTCATCATCCCATCTGACGTGGTTTTTCAAAATTCTAACTGGCTATGCACTAGTGATGTTGCTTTTATCAAGTTGTCACCATCAACATAATGCTAACCCAGTTTATCAGCTTGGTCCATCAGCATGCCCTCCTGGAACCCTCTTTTGCTTTTTTCCATAAAGTGCTTCCTTTTCATGGGGTTCTCTCCCTCTCTGTCTCTCTCTGTCTCTCTCTGTGTGTCTCTCTCTCCCCTGCCCCGCCTTCCTGCTTCCCTCCTTCCCTCCCTCCCCCACTCTCCATCCCTTCCTCTCTCTTCCTCCTTCTCTCTTCATCCAAATTCAATCACTCCCACCTACACTGATACCTACAAGGCTACATTTTAATGGAATTATAGAAGTTTAAGGAACACAGACTAACTTCAAATTGTATGTTTCCTATTCTGACTGAGGAACTGAGTTATTGGCAAAGACCTCCCCCAATACCCCTAGTGATGTGACCATTGCACATGTTTCTTCTTTCTGATAACCTCAATGAATGAGTATATGCTGATTATCCAGAGGGTCTTAAAGTCCTAACATGTGAGCAGTAGACGAAAAAGGGAAAACAAAAAGTAGGTAAGCAACTTTTGGAGAGTGAAATAAATAAAACCAGTAGAATAATAGAATATGAAAATAAGTCTCAAACGAAAAACAGATTCTGTGAAGCAGAGGGAACACATCATAGTGATTGTTCTGCCTTCTCCACTGACATTCACCTGGATTCAATGTTTGTGACTGGTGGCAGAGTGGGGTCAAGGTTCATTAATGGGGAGGATTGCATCATATCTGTAGATCATCCTGTGAAGATTTGACATCCTTGCAATGTTGAGTTTTTCAAATCATGAATATCCTTCCGTTTATATATAGGCCTTGCTCTATAATATAGAATCACTGCTGTGTTAACAATAGACTGAAGAAGCAAGTGTAGAAGCAGGAAAACCAATTAGAAAATGAGTGTAGTAATCCAGGCAAACTGTAATGGTAACTGAGACCAGGATGGTAGCTTTCAAATTTGTTAAAAAGCAATTGGATGCTTGATAGATTTTGAAGACAGAACCTCATTCATGGGATGTGCAGTAGAGAAAGCATGGAATCAGTGTTGACTTCATGGCTTTTGACCAAAGAAACTGAGATGGGGACAAGGAACAACTGGAGCAAGTTGGAAGATGGGGTGGAGGTCAGAAAGCTGTGTTTGGATATGTTGAGTTTGAGATCCTAATGGAAATGTCAGGTAAGTTGTTAGAAATGTGAGTCGGGAGGTCAGTGAGAGGCCTGAGCTGGAAGTATGAATTTGGGAGTTGTCAGTGTATGGATAGTAAGTTCAAGGGACTAGATGAGGTCATCAAGAAACTGAATACAGAGAAGAGAAAAGAACCAAGGACTCAGCCTAGAGCGCTATAACATTTGGAAATCATGGGCAAAAGGATTCAATAGCAAAAGAAACTCTGAAGTTATTAGTGAGATAGCAGGAAATCCAACAGAGTAAGATTCTGGCAGAAACTTGTTCTCCAGGTGTCTGTTTCATAGGACTGTGGATATGGACCCATTCTTGGTGCCTTCCTTCAGTCTGAACCCATTGTTATTCTGTCATAAAGTCCTTAAGCTATCTGATGTCGGTACAGGGTTTTCGTCATATTCGCGTTATTTGGTGATAGCACTAGGAATCTGATAATGGAGAGGGAGATTGGGGACTGTGTTCAAATACACAAGTCCCATATTCTTTATTAACAACATCCATAATGAATTCTAAATTTAAGTACTTTACGTGTTCCAGGCACTGTACTAAATCCTTTACATGCATTAACACATGTAACATCTCCAGCAGTCATGACAAAGAATCTGCTACTGGTCATATTTTATAGATTAGGAAATTGAGACCCAGAGTGTAAGTAAGGTGTTCAGAGTTACACAGCTAATTAATGGTAGAGTGGGGATTTAAAACTAGACTGAGTGACTCCAAAGCAGCTTTTAGCCAGTAAGTACTTCAGCAGCCTTGGAGACATAGGAGCATAGATATGTATATCAATGCATATACATATATGCATATATATAATACATATTCCTTCTTTAATATATAACCTTTATTATAATTTTCCCATTACCTTATACCCCCACCCCCAGCTATCACCACCTCGTCCATATCAATGAGTCCGTTTTCTTTTGGGCTCAGTCCCTCCACCCCTTAACTTCCCCCCTACACTAGCAGTCCATCTGTTCTCCATCTACAAGTCTGTCTCTGTTTTACTTATTAGTTCCCTTTTTTCATGAGGTTCCACATATGAGTGAAATTATATGAAATTTCTCTCTGACTGGCTTATTTCACTTAGCATTATGTCCTCCAGGTCCATCCATGCTATTTGTTACACAGGGTAAAATTTTCTTCTTTTTTATGGCCAAGTAGAATTCAATTGTGTAAGTGTTCTGTAGTTGTTTTACCCACTCATCTATCGATGGACACGGGCTGCTTCCATGTCTTAGCTATTTTACATAATGCTGCAGTGAACATAGGGGTGCTTATGTTCTTTCAAATTAGTGTTTTGGGTTTCTTTGTATATATTTGCAGAGCTGGGATTGCTCGGTCAAAAGGCAGATCCATTTTCAATTTTTTGAGGTATCTCCATACTACTCTCCACAGTGGCTGCACCAGTCTGCATTCCCACCAACAGTGCAAGAGGGTTCCCCTTTCTTCACGTCCTCACCAACACTTGTTTGTTGATTTATTGATGATAGCCATTCTGACAGGTGTGAGATGGTATCTCATTGTGGTTTTAATTTGTATTTCTCTGATGAGTATTAATGTTTAGCATCTTTTCATATGTCTATTGGCCATTTGTGTGCCCTCTTTGGAGAAGTGTCTATTCAGGTTCTTTGCCCATCGTTTAATTGGGCTGTTAGTTTTTTTGGTGTTGAGTTTTGTAAGTACTTCATAAATTTTGGATATTCCTTATCAGATGTATCAGCAAATATGTTCCTCCATTCCATGGGTTGTCTTTTTATTTTGTTGATGATTCCTTTGCTGTGCAAAACCTTTTTACTTTGAAGTCCCAATTGTTTATTTTTTATTTTGTTTCCCTTGCCTAGGGAGAGATATCTGATTAAAAAATTACTTTTAATACATTTTATTCATTATGCTATTACAGTTGTCACATTTTTTTTCTCCCCTTTATCCTCCTCTGCCCTGCACCCTCCCTCCCACCAGCATTACCCTCCCCTTAGTTTGTGTCCATGGGTTATACTTATAAGTTTGTTGGCTCCTCCATTTCCCATACTATTCTTAACCTCCCCCTGTCTCTTTTGTATCTACCACTATGCTTCTTATTCCCTGCAACTTTTCCCCCATTATCCCCCTCCCCCACTGATAACCCTCCTTGTGATCTCCATTTCTGTGGTTCTGTTCCTGTTCTAGTTGTTTTCTTGGTTTGTTTTTGTTTTAGGTTCAGTTGTTGATAATTGTGAGTTTGTTGTCATTTTACTGTTCTTAGTTTTTATCTTCATTTTTTTCTTAGATAAGTCCCTTTAACATTTCATATAATAAAGGCTTGGTGATGATGAACTCCTTGACCTTGACCTTATCTGGGAAGCACTTTATCTGCCTTTTCATTCTAAATGATCTTTGCCAGATAGAGTAATCTTGGATGTAGGTCCTTGCCTTTAATGACTCAGAATACTTCTTTCCAACCCCTTCTTACCTGTAAGGTTTCTTTTGAGAAATTAGCTGATAGCCTTATGGGAACTCCTTTTTAGGTAATTGTCTTCTTTTCTCTTGCTGTTTTTATGATTCTCTCCTTTTAGCCCTGGCTGTTGTGGTTCAGTGGATTGAGTTTGGTCTGTGAACCGAAGGGTCACTGGTTCTGTTCCCAGTCTGGGCACATGCTTGGGTTGCCGGCCAGGTCCACAGTAGGGTGCATGTGAGAGGCAACCACACACTGATGTTTCTCCTACTTTTTTTCACTGCTTTCCCCTCTGTCTACAAATAAATAAATAAATAAAATTTTTTTAAAAAAAGATTTTATTTATTTATTTTTAGGGAGGGACGGGGAGGGAGGGAGAGAGAGAGAGAGAGAGAGAGAGAGAGAGAGAGAGAGAGAGAAACATCAATGTGCGGTTGCTGGGGGTTATGGCCTGCAACCCAGAAATGTACCCTGGCTGGGAATCGAACCTGGGACACTTTGGTTCCCAGCCCGCGCTCAATCCACTGAGCTACACCAGCCAGAATAAATAAAAATCTTTAAAAAATGTTCTCTCTATATCTTTAACCCTGGTTAATTTAATTAAGTTGTCTTCATGTGTTCCGCCTTGGGTCAAATTTCTTTGGGACTCTGAGCTTTCTGGACTTGCTGGAATTTTATTTCCTTTGCCAGATTTCAGAAAATTTCTTTCATTATTTTTTTAAATAAGTTTTAAATTTCTTGCTTTTCCTCTTCTCCTTCTGACACCCCTATGATTTAGGGGTGTCAGAAGGAGATGCTGGGATATTTAACATTGTCCCAGAGGTTCATATGCCTCTTCTCACTTTTTTGAATTCCTCTTTCTTCATTCTGTTCTGGTTGAATATTCCTTTATTCCTTTTTTTTAACAAAGATTTTATTTTTATCATCTATTTATTTATTTATTTGTTTGTTTGTTTGTTTTTATTTTTAGAGAGGGAAGGGAGGGAGAAAGAGAGAGAGAGAGAAACATCAATGTGTGGTTGCTGGGCATCATGGCCCGCAACCCAGGCATGTGCCCTGACTGGGAATCGATCCTGTGATGCTTTGGTTCACAGCCCACGCTCAATCTACTGAGCTATGCCAGCCAGGGCCCTTTCTTCCTTTTTTTCCAAAACATTGATTTGAGTCCTGGTTTCCTTCCCTTTACTGTTGATTCCCTGTACATTTTTCTTTATTTCACTTTGCATAGCCTTCATTGCTTCCTCTATTTTGCGTCCATATTCAGTCATTTCTGTGAGCATACTGATTGTCAGTGTTTTGAACTCTGCATCTGATAGGTTGGCTATCTCCTCATTGCTTAGTTCTTTTTGTGAAGTTTTGATCTATTCTTTCATTTGGACCATATTTTATCTTTATCTTTATCTTTATCTCAGCACACCTGTTACATTGCAGAGGGCAGAGCCTTAGATATTCACCAGAGTGGGGCAACCCAGGTTGCTGTGTTGTGGCACTGTATGTGGTAGAGGGTTCAGAGAGGGAACAATGCCATTTGCTCAGCTCTCGCTCCAATTTCAGTCACTCCTCCCACTTTCTATAAGCAAATTGATTCCTTTTGGTGCTTCTTTCCAGGTGGGTAGGTTTGTGTACCTTCTAGGACCCCATGGGCCTCTCCAATAAACTCTTCTGTGAGGCTGAGAGTTTCTCCCACAGCTGCAACCCCCACAGATGTTTACAGCCAGGGTGTTTGAGGCTTTAGTTTCCAATCCTGGAACCCTGGGATGTGATATCTATCTCATTCCCCAGTTGTTTCTACAGGCTTATCCGCACACAAATGTGGGACCACCTGGTTTACTAGCCACCACCTCCTGTGCCCAGCCAGTAGCTTTGCCTTGCATCCTTGCCACCCTGGCTGCCCATCTCTGCCCCTCCTACCAGTCTGGGTGAATGTTTCTTCTTTAAGTCCTTGGTTGTCAGACTTTCATACAGTTAAATTTTCTGGCAGTTCTGATGGTTTTTGTTTTTAAATTGGTTGTTGTCCTTATTTTGGTTGAGGAAGCAAAGCATATCTGCCTATGCTTCCATCCTGGCCAGAAGTCTAAAGTTGATGATGTTGAGTGTTTAGTTTATTTTTCAGAGATAACCTGACTTTTGACATCTCTGAGTTTTGGGGGGACATTTGCTCTGGTTCCCACTTGCTAAGAGAACTTACCTCACTTGTCAAGAGCAGTCTCCATTGTTGGCCCTTTTTCCTTCCTTAGTTAAAATGCACTGTACCCCATGGATTTCCTCCTTACTGTATGTTTGCACTTTCTGAGGATGAGCCCGTGCTCATCTTCCTGCTCTTTGAATATTGGGATTCTCTAGGTTTTATACTTAAACTTCTCTCAACTCTTGCAATCTAAATAATCTTATCTTCTCCTAGTTTTTAATGCCATCTTTAAGCTGGTAATTCCCCAAAATTATATCTGACTGGAATCTAGACTGCCATATCTTGCTGCCTTATAGACTTCTCCTGTTTCTTTTTTATTTATTTTTATCTTGCATAGTTGTAAAATATTAAAATATTTTTATTAGATAATAGTGATGGTATGAATTTGGGTTTTGTCCTCAATGTTCTTTCTTAGCTCAATAAAAAGTCAGAAACCCCATGTTGACCACTAACTTCATTTTTTTTAAAGATTTTATTTATTTATTTTTAGGGAGGGAAGGGAGAGGGAGGGGGGAGAGAGAGAGAGAGAGAGAAAGAGAGAGAGAGAGACAGAGAGAGACATCAGTGTGCGGTTGCTGGGGGTTATGGCCTGCAACCCAGGAATGTACCCTAGCTGGGAATCGAACCTGGGACACTTTGGTTCCCAGCCTGCGCTCAATCCACTGAGCTACGCCAGCCAGGGCATACTAACTTCATTTTTTATGAACATCTCTTTCAATCCAACTCTTAATTCTAAATTTTTATGTCAACACTGTTTGTCACATGTATCTGATAAGTTTCTCATCCTGTATTAATTCACCTTTTCTCTGTCTGCATGCCTGTACCTGAGTAGCTGACTATTGTTGCAGAAAATCACAGTCACCAATTCATGGTTACAGATCTCAAATGGGCCTTCAATGCTGCTTGGCAATGCTATCACTTCCGTGTTGATCCTATTCTCCTGATCATCACAGGGGATGTCTCACACATTCTGTCTTCTCAAACCTCTGGTTCCATCTCCACCATCTCTAAGCTCAGAAAATTCATGTAATAAATGCAACAAATTCTTGTTAATTACTTGCTATATCTCTTAGGGAGAACTAAAGCTATCATACAGAAACTTCTTCAAAATCTGGTCTGATTTTCATCTATTCTGACTACCCAACTAGACTTAATAGCTAGTCTTGCGTATAGAAACTGTGTTGTGTTTCTCTGCCTCTCCAGAGCAGAGGGCAGGGCCCTGAGGGGCATAGGATCTTGGACCTTAGTTTAAATTGATGTAGCCCTGCATTTCTCACCACCCCATCTTGTTTCTTCCAGCTGATGTAGAAGGCCAATCCTTAAGACAGCGAGACAAGCGGCATAGTTTAAATTTGGTGAGTTTGGCATTTGAGTTCCTTGAAGCCTCAATTTTACAAAAAAAAAAAAAAATAGCCTGATTTTTATACATTCTCTTGAAGTCTGAATATTTGTGGACCGTTGCAGTCTCCCCTTAAGGTTTGTACTTGTCTGGGAACTACTGGACTTAATAAGTAGTATTCTGTAAGGACACTACCAGTTCTAATAGTCCAGACACTTGTCTGATTTGGGGGTAGCTACTGAAGGCCTCACTTTATATTTGAAACATTTGCATCAATTCATAAACTTTTGTCTTCCAGCCTGAGATCTAGGAAAGTTGTCACACACCTCACAAATTAAGTCCAGAGGCAGAGCTTGAGTAAGAGGCTTGTCTGACTTTCCTATGGAGGCTCAGAGTTATCCTTGGATAATTTGCAACTGAAATCATATATGTAGGTGAGGCTGGCTACTGGTAGACATTTCCATGACTGTTCTGTGGTTCCCAACCCATACTTGTTCTCTTGCAGCCATGCAGATCCTCTCCAATGTGCCCTACAGCTTCAACCAGTGATGAAGACAGCTATGTGCCTATGGCCCCCCTGGGTGCCATCTCTTGTCTCAAAACTGAGTCCAACTCTGATGACTACATCCCAATGAGCTCAGGAAGCTTCTCCAGCCCACTTCCTGAGCTACCTGCAAACCTGGAACCTCCCCCAGTAAATAGAGATCTCAAGCCTCAGAGGAAACGTAAGCCATTTGACCAGGCCTGCTATGTAGGAGAAGGGAGCAGCCATGTGTATAAGTTTCCTTCCTGACCCTCTCTGGGAAGGAAACACTAGAAAAACCATCCTAGAGGGCTGGGAGGTTTAAGGGTGAGGAGAAAGGGCTACAATTGAATGGGTAGGGCTGGGGAACCTTGCTGCCCCAGATCATCACAATAAAAGGAGGCAGGGGACTTTCAGGCACCATAGCCCCTGCAAATACAGCCCACAAAGCCTAGATCATTGCAGAGGACTCATCTTCACCTGCTTCCAAGTCAAAGGCTCAGAAATAAGTGTTGATGAATTGGAATGGAACATGCCTGACATTTCTTCATTTAAACAGCACTTGAATATAATTACAGTGCCCTCTTCCTATAAGGAAATCAAGAATGACCTTTGACACTAATTTCTGAATGTCAGAGTTACCACTCAGTGCCCTGTGCATGCCTGTCAGCCAAGGTATTTCAGATGGGAGAAGACTTTGGCAGTGAGCAGTCTAGCTCCTGTGTGCACAGAGCTTAAAGCTTCTGCATTGCTCTCGGGCAGTTTCTCTGGGTCTTATAGGCAGCATGGACAGGCAGGGAGAAAGGAGAGGAGGGAAAGAGGAAAAGCAGGTCAAAGTAACTTTCTTGCTTTATTCTTACCCACCATCATCTGCTCAGTAAGGCTACATGATTTCAAGGAAATATTTGGTACAAAGAATTTGATCTCTGACCCTTACCTCTGGTACATTCCCACCTCTCTTTGCCCTTTGGAAAAATTATTTCTTCGGGTGACCATGCCCAAAGCTAGTAATTCAGTCCCTTACTCATGTCTGGTCCATTCTAGTCTCACCTGTTCAATCTGAGTCAAATCACATTTACAGTGTGTTTGCCATTTGCCATGTGTGTAGTGCTGTTTTAGGCACTGGGTGGGATGCAATGATGAGAAAGCAAGTAGGATTCTTCAGTTTGAGAGGAAAAAAATATAAAAAACATCTGGAAGAAGAAGAAGAAGAATTATGAAGTCTATATGAAATAGGAGAACAGACCCCGTGTTATGAGGTTCAGAGGAAATAACCATTCATTCTGGTCAGGAACAATTTAACAAGGACCTGTAACTTTGAGATAGATATTGTTCTGTTCAGTTAAATTTCTATAGCAATGCTGTCCAACAGAACTTTTTGTGATGATATAAATGTGAATATTGAATATTTGAAATGTGTCTAGTGCAACTGAGAAACTGAATTTTAAATTTTATTTAATTTTAATAAATTTCAATTTAAATAGCCACATGTGGCTTGTGCTACCACATTGGACAGCGCAACTCTGTAGGACCTGGTGATCATAAGCATGAAAATGGTGAATGGACTTGAGATTAGAGATTCATTGGGTGGGTGTGAAGGTCCATACTTGGGCCAGGAGATGCCAATTTTTTTGTAGGTGTAGATGCAGGGACAGATCCTGGGACCCAACAGGGAGAGGGAAGATGGCAAAGCCAGGAGGTGACTGGTCGGTGTCATACTACCAGGAGAGACCTTCTCCCCAGACACTATATGACTCACATGTCCTTTACAGATCACCACCTTGCCCAGGTGTGAGGCTCCTGGGAAGTGGATTGAGCAACAGAGAAGTCACTATACTAGACTCTGGTGATATGGAGGGGAGTTATAAACAGTCTCTACCCACCTCTACCCACATAGTCTAGTGGAGGAAAAATACAAAAGCAACCTGATAATAGGAATGCATGCATGACCAACTCAGTGAGTTGGCTTTTGAAGTGGAATTAGGGTCAGGTGCCAAGTGCTTCTCTAGAGGCCAAAGCTGTTGCAGTGAACAAATCAGAAGAACCCCTGTCATCTCAGAGCACATAAGTCTAGACCTGAATCAGATAATCACCGGTGAATGTATCATCACAAACTGGGGGGAGTGCTATAAAAGGTAAGTATAAGAACTCCTAAGAGCCCATGATGTGGAACTCGACCTTGTCTGGAGGTCAAAGAAGGCCTTCCTAAGCAGGGGACATTGAGCTGAGATCCAAAGATGACTAACCAGGTAGAGAAATGGAGAATGATATCCTAGGCAGAAAGACCATCAGCTAGACAATGAACTAGAGGTGGGGAAGACTAGTACCTGGGTGATAAAAATAAAGTTTCAATTTTGGACATGTCAAGTATGAAGTAGGCATTGGCATTCCATAAAGTTCAGAGACTTTCATCTGTTCTGTTCATACTATGTCTCTAACACCTAGAACCATACCTGACATATAATGTGTTTTATAGCTGTGTGTTGACTAAATATATTGCCTTATCATTACCTCTAGCTGGTAATGTGACCATTTGCTCAGTAGTTGCCCTGTCCCTACTACCAGGGAGTCAGGAAAGAGTGAAATTTATACTCATCATCAGTGCTGCTTATTAGTAAATTTGGATTTGGTGTGCTAGGTAAGTGGAATGTCATAGTTTTACAGTCCTTTGATTCTGGCCTTGAACTGCTAAGAACTTATCTTACTGGATATTGTGTGTTATCTTGTAGCACGGTCACCTCCCCTAGACCCGAGAAACCTTTCTACCATCCGGGAACACGCATCTCTAACCAGGACCCACACTGTGCCTTGGTAAGTGTCTGCTTGCTCAAAGGGTCCTCATCCAGCACAGATACTCCCAGTCTTAGTTAGGTCTCTTTGATTAAATGTATTTGAAGTCCACTTGATCTAGTTTAAGCAAAAGAAGGGGCAGGGTTTATGATCACAAGAGGAAAGAATATAACTGAACCTCCCAAGATACCAGAATTAGGAAGGAGAGTGCTCTTGGAAACCCAGGGAATCTCTCTCCATCTCTCATGTCTACCTCTCTCTTCACATTTGCTCATTCCTCTTTCTTTGGAGAACTCTTCTTTGTTGCTCAATCCTCATGGCCAAAAATAGCTGTACCATAGAGCCTGAGCTTATTTACATGATACAACTCCAGTATCAACAGAGACAGGCTCTTTTTCAATCCCAATTCACAATTCTTGACAGAGGGAATTGTATTGCCCCACCATGAGTGGAAGCAGCTATGGCCCAAGGGAGGGCCAGTAGTACCGACATAGCTTCAAGAAACTCAACTTTGTGAACAGAGTAGGTGAAGGGCATTCTCAGAGAAAGAATGGTTCATGGGCTTGCTATACAGTTCTCAGAATGTATTTGCACCCTCTCATCTCACCATTTAGATGTTGCATTTTCAGAGTCCCGAGCTTTACCCAGGAGTTTCTTGGTTCACTCTAAATGCCACAGGACACAATCATTTTGTAAAGCAGAATTCTGCAATGAGCTCTATTTACAGCTTCTGACTCAAGAGAAGGATGAAAGGTGATTTGCAGTCTTGTCCTCATTCCATCAGAGGACTGGCCACACTTCCTTACTTTCCCTGGTTACTTTGAATGGAAATTAGAAAGCCCCAAGGGAGTGGGTATTTTTCCTAAATGATCTGAAGCCTTGGTCTGTTTCTAGAAAGCTCACGAGCTGTGTCACATGGAAGGCCTGGAAAAAAGTAGCCTTTGAGAACTGGGAGTCACTTGCACCAGAGTAGGACAGAAGCTGCTGGACAGTCTCTACTGCTTTAAGAATCGCTTTGGCCGGAAGGAAGTTGTATCTGGAAGGGGAGGGCTGAAACCCCACAGGGCCCATGTCAGTTCCTGGCTGACTTTCAGAGCAGCTGTAAGACATTGCTTTGACCTCATCTATATTTTTGTTCTTAGCAATCGGACGAGCTTTCTCTCTCCAGAAAGAAATGGTATTAATTCTGCAAGATTTTTTGCCAGTTCTGTTTCCAGAGAAGAGAAAGAGAGCAACACCCAAATGGTAATCCTATATTTTTCATACTCTTCTTATTCTTCACCTGAATGTATATTCTTAGTTCATTATAAAGGAGACATACTTTAGAAAGGCCCGTACAATCTTAACACAATCACTTGGTTGTGATATCAGGTTACAGTGTTTTCTAGACTATGAACACATTGATTTGAAGGTGAGTTTTATTTCCTGCAATACTGAGTTCCTTGTACCATTTCAAGGCCACAGTATTTCAGCAGTTCCCAGGGTATAGGCATGTGTAATGGGAAAATGGCAGTGTCAGCACTTTTCACCAGGGCTGTGATATTCTGTTTGACCCCAGTAGGTTTGGAGTTCCCTGGATGTCCAGAGTCTAAGCTGTGAAAACTCACACATTGGATGGTTCCTTCCACCTGACCACTTGGTGGCCCTGCCCTAACTGCCACTGAACCTTTCCAAAGGATGAATCATTTAGAGTCCCATTGAAGGGGGGTACAGTGCCCTGGGCTTTGGGTATGCCTTAGTTTCTGAAGACTCCTGTTACAGGGTCTTCTTGTAGCCCTGAGTGGATAGTTAGCTGACATTTCTGTTCTTTGATTAACCATTTATGGTTCTAGTCCTAATCTCCCCTTCCTGCCCTCTCGTGTCCCTTCTGTTCCCTTTACCTTGGATTCTATTCAAGAGCATGTGTTTTGAAAAGAGAAAGGGGCTTTTAGCACATCTGGGAATTATCAGGCATTTAGTTAGAACCGTACCCATTCTGCAATTTTAAAATGTAGGAACTTTGGAGATAATTCTCTAGAGAGAATTGCTATTTAAATTATGAAATTTTGAAAAGAGATCTTAGAAGGACAATGTTCAAGGCAATTATCAAATATATATATATATATTTCTATTGCAATTGTCCCAATTTCCCCCATTGCTCTAACCTGCCCCACCCAACCTCACTTACATATACTTTTGAGAAGATAATTTTTCCCTCCTATACATGAGGATAATAAATAGGCAGTTTGAAAACTAAAAACAGTAATCTCCAGTGAAGCAGTAATTAAATGCTTTAGTTTGCCTTTCTATTTGATAAAAATCTCTGTAAGTGCACTTAACCATATGCAGATGTAAAGTGACTCATATACAAATCTGCTGTGATCTTTCCAATGTTTTTCACACTTAGTAATGGCCCTTGGGAAACTTGTGGAAGAAAACATTCTTAAAAATGATGCTGGACCAGCTGTGCTCTGTCTCCAGAGAACAGAAAAGGGAAGTGAGTGTATAATGTAATACAAGCAAGTGCATAGTCATTCCAGACACTAGCCATTCATTTATGATCTTTGAGCTTGTGATAAAGACCAGTGAGCCCCTGGTAACCTCAGTTCCGCTTTCTGTCTTCATAAAGTTGCCTATTCTAGGTACCTCACATAAGTGGAATCATACAATGTTGGGCCTTTTGTGTCTGCCTTCTTTCAGTTAGCTCAGTGTTTTCAACATTCATCCATATTCTAACATATAACAGAATTTCATTTTTTAAAAATTTTATTTATTTATTTTTAGAAAGAGGGGAAGGGAGGTAGAAAGAGAGGGAGAGAAACATTGACGTGACACGAATGTCAATCAGTTGCCTTTTGTGCGCCACCAGCCAGGTACCTGGCCCACAGCCCAGGCATGTGCTCTGAGTGGGAATCAAAACAGTGACCTTTCGGTTTGCAGGACAATGCCCAGCCCACGGAGCCACACCAGTCAGGGCAGAATTTCTTTTTTTTTTTTTTCAAGGCTAATACTCCATTGTATTTACACATCACCTTTTGTTTATCTATTTGTCTGTAGGTAGATAATTGGGTTGTTTCTACCTGTTGTCTATCATGAATAATGCTGCTATCAACATTGGTGTACAAATATCTGTTTGAATCTTTGCTTTCAGTTCTTTCAGATATATACATAGAAGTGGAATTGCTGGATCACATGGTAATTTGTTTAAATTTGAGGAACCACCAAACTGTTTTCCAGTGACCAAACCATTTTATATTCCCAACAGCAATGCAGAATGGTTCCAATTTCTCTATATCCTCACCAACACTTGTTATTTCCCATTTTTTGTTTGTTTTGCATAGTAGCTATCTTAATATGTGTGAAGTGGTATCTCATTGTGGTTTTCTGTTGCATTTCCCTAATGGCTAGTGATGTTAAGCATCTCCTCATATGCCTAATGGCTATTTGTATATCTTCTTTGGAGAACGGTCTAATCAAGTCCTTCACCCATTTTTTAATTGGGTTGCTTATTTTTATTGTTGAGTTGTATAAGTTTTTTTTGTTTTTTAAAGATTTAATTTATTTATTTTTACAGAAGGAAGGGAGGGAGAAAGAGAGAAAGAGAAACATCGATGTGTGGTTGCTGGGGGCTGTGGCCTGCAACCCAGGCATGTACCCTGAGTGGGAATCGAACCGGCAATGCTTTGGTTCACAGCCTGCGCTCAATCCACTGACCTATGCCAGCCAGGGCTGAGTTGTATAAGTTTTTTAAAACAATATGGATATTAACATTGTATCAGATGATTTGCAAATATATTTCCCCATTCTTTGGGTTCTCTTTTTCACTTTTTTGATAGTGCCCTTATATGCAGAGATTTTTTTTTTAAGATTTTATTCACTCATTTTTAGAGAGGGAAGGGAGGGAGAAAGAGAGAGAGAGAAACCTCAATGTGCGGTTGCTGGGCATCATGGCCTGCAACCCAGGCATGTACCCTGACTGGGAATTGAACCTGCAACACTTTGGTTCACAGCCTGCGCTCAATCCACTGAGCTACACCAGCCAGGGCTGAGAGTTTTTTTTTTTTAATTGATTCCAGAGAGAAGGGAAAGGAGAGAGAAAGAAAAAGAAAAATGTTAATGTGAGAGAGAAACATTGATACATTGCCTCTTGCATGTGCCCTGACTGGGGACCCAAACTGCAACCCAGCCATGTAGGTGCCCTCACTGGGAATTGAACCAGTGACCTTTTGGTTTGCAGGATGACACCCAACCAACTGAGCCATACTGGCTAGAGCTACACAAAATTTTTTAATTTTGATGAAGTCAATTTGTTTCTCTTATTGCCTATGGTATTCATGTTATATTCAATAAATCATTGACAAATCCAATGTCATGAAGTTTATCTTTATGTTTTCTTCTAAGAGTTTTATAGTTTTAGCTTTTATACTGAGGTCTTTGATTCTCTTTTGAGTTAATTTTTGTATATGATCTAAGGTTAGGGTCCAGCTTCATTCTTTTGCATATGCATATCCAGTTTTCCCTGCATTATTTGTTGGAAAGACTGCCCTTTTCCCAGTGGTCTTGGCACCTTCATTGAAAATCAAAGGACCATAATTGCAAAGGTTATTTCTGGACACTTTTATTCTCTTCCATTGGTCTATATGTTTGTCCTGCCTCCAGTATGATACTGTTTTGATCACTATAGCTTTATAGCAACTTTGGAAATCAGGAAATGTGAGTCCTTCAACTTTGTTCTTCCTTTACAAGATTGTTTTGGCTATTCAGGGTTATTTGAGATTCCACATAAATTTTAGGATGGGTTTTTCTATTTCTGCATGAAATGCCATTGGGATTTTGATAAAGAATGCTTTGAATCTGTGGATTGCTTTGGTTAATGTTGTAATGTCTTCTTAAAATATATTTTATTGCTTATGCTATTATAGTTTTCCCAATTTTCTCCCCTTACCCCCTCCACCTGGTACCGCCATTCCCTCCAGCAATCCCCACACCTTTAGTTCATGTCCATGGGTCATGTAGATAAGCTCTTTGGCTTCTCCATTTCCTATACTGTTCTTAACATCCCTCTGTCTGTTTTGTACCTACAAATTTGTGCTTCTTAATCCCTGCAGCTTTTCCTCTATTCTCCTGTGTTCACCTTCCAACTGATAACCCTTCCAATTATCTCCATATCTATGTTTCTGTTCCTGTTTTGCATGTTATGCTCAGTCTGTTTTTGAGATTCAGTTGTCAATAGTTGTGAATTTATTGTCATTTTAATGTGCATAGTTTTGATCATCTTCTTTTTCTTATATAATTCCCTTTAACATTTCATGTAATAAAGGCTTGGTGATGATGAACTCCTTTAGCTTTAACTTGTCTTGGAAGCACTTTATTTGCCCTTCCATTCTAAAAGATAGCTTTGCTGGATAGAACAATGTTAGTTGTAGGTCCTTGCTTTTCATCACTTTGAATACTTGTTGCCAGTCCCTTCTAGCCTGCAAAGGTGTTGTTGTTGTTGTTGTTGTTGTTGTTGTTGTTTGGAGAAATCAGCTGACAGTTTTATGGGAACTCCTTTGTAGGTAACTATCAGCTTTTCTTTTGTTGCTTTTAAGATTCCCTCTTTATCTTTAACCTTTGAGATTTTAATTATGGTGTGTCTTGGTATGGTCCTCATTGAGTCCATCTTGTTTGGGACTCTGTGCTTCCTGTACTTGTATGTCTATTTCCTTCATCACATTAGGGAAGTTTTCTTTCACTATTTTTTCAAATAAGTTTTCAGTTTCTTGCTCTTCCTCTTTTCCTTCTGGCACCCCTATGATTCACATATTGGTACTCCCGAAAATGTCCCAGAGGCTCCTTAGTCTATCATTTTGGGGGGATTCTTTTTTCTTCTTGCTGTTGTAATTGAATGCTTTTTTATCTTCCTTATGTTCTTTTTTTTACATTTTATTTTCATCATTGTTCAAGTACAATTTTCTGTCCTTTACTCCCATTCCAGCCCACCCACCCATCCCTCCCCACCTCCCTTCCATTTCCACCCCCTCTAGTTTTTGTCCATGTGTCCTTTATATTTGTTCCTGTAAACCCTTTCCATTATCCCCTGAAATTCCCTCTCCTCAGCTTCATCCCCTCCACTGTTGGTATCCTGCAGATTTTTCTTTATTTCACTTAACGTAACCTTCATTTCTGTCTGGGTCTTTTTTATGCTGTTACAGTACCTAGTGAGTTCCTGGAACATCCTTATAACCAGTGTCTTGAACTCTGCATCTGACAGGTTGCTTATCTACATTTTGTTTAGTTCTTTTTCTGGAGTTTTGTTCTGGTCTTTCATTTGGGCCATATTTCCTTGTCTCCTCAATTTGATAGTCTCCCTGTGTTTGTTTCTGTGTATTAGGCAGAGTTGCTTTAACTTTCTGTCTTAGTAGCTAGGCCTATTGTAGAAAAGTGCACTTGTGAGTAGTGTGGGGTGGAGCCTCGGGTAATCGCCAGGGCAAGGCAACCCATGTTGCTGCTGAATGGCTCTGTGTGGGAGAGGGCTCAGTGAAGGGACAATGCTGCTGCCTCTCCTCTGGAACTTTGCCCACAAGGATGCCGTGCCCTAGCCCTTATGCCAGTCACCTCAATTTCTCCTCATATATCACTAGTGCCCTTCCCGCTGTTATCCCCCTGGTGCTGAATCCCAGAGGGAGTGGGTCTGTAAGTCCCAAGACTGTTGTGGGCCCTTTAAGGAGGAGTCTTCTGTCATTTCTGCCATTTCTTTTGCCACCCTAAACCTTACTGACTGGGTTTTATAGCCAGAAGTTATGGGCACTTAACTTCCTGGTGCTAGAACTCTGGGCTGGGTTGTCTGGTGTGGGTCTGAGATCTCTCACTCCAAGGTGTACCTTCCAATTTTTATCCACTACACATGGATGTGGAACCACCCGTTCCATATTTCCGCTCCTCGCTGTGTCACTATGTCTCCGCGCCTCTCTGCGCATCTCCATAATTCCACCCTTCCTACCCGTCTGGATGAATGTGGCTTCTTTAACTCCTTGGTTGTCAGACTTCCATATGTCTCAGTTTTCTGACGTTTCTGGGTGATATTTGTTTTGTAGTCTAGTTGTAATTTTTGCTCTGATTGTGCAAGGAGGCAAGGCATGTTTATCATGCCTCCATGTTGACCAGAAGTTCCTGGTTAATGTTGTAATATTAACAATAATTAAATCTTCCAATCCATGAGCATAGGGTGTTGATCCATTTTTTTATGTGTGTTTACTTTCTTTCAGCAATGTTTTGTAGTTTTCACTGTACAAGTCTTTGTTTCCTTGGTTAAATTTATTTGTAAATATTTTATTGTTTTTGATGCTATTTTAAATTAGATGGCTTTCTTAATTTCCCTTTTAAATTTCTCATTGTTAGTGTATAGAACTGCAACCACATTTTGGGTGTTCATCTTGTATCCTTGCTGGGTTTGTTTATTTTTTGTTTATTAGTAACTTTTTTGAGTGGAATCTTTAGAATTTTCTACATATAAGACCATATTATCAGCAAACAGGTTATTTTGCTTCTTATTTTCCAATTTGGATGTCTTCTGTTTCTTTTTCTTGCCTAATTTAATTCCAATACTTTGTTGGGTAGAAATAGTAGACAATTCTGTTGTCAACTACACAACCCAGAAATTCTTCTGCAGGTGTATGAATGTTCATGGCACCATCTTACAAGAGCACCAAACTGGAAGCAACTCAAATGTCGTTGTTAGTGAAACAGTGAAATAAATCATGCAATGGAATTACCTATTCCAATCCAATGAAAATCAATGAAATTAGGACACAGGTGGCAAACACAAGGCCTGTGAGTCAAATCTGGCCCTCCACCTTGTTTCTACCTGGCGGCAGTGCCAAGCTCTCACTAAATTGTTAAGGAGTAGGTACATGTATACAGTCCTAAAATTACATTCGGCCATTTGAAGGCAACCGCAAGGCTGATGTGACCCTGAGTGAAAATGAGCTTGATACTCCTGGAATAGGACTTCTGCATAGATATGGGTGAGGGTGAAGGATGTTTTATGAAACAAAAATTGAAGCCATGAAAAATATACCATACAGTTCTATTGCCAGAAGTTCAAAACAGGCAAAACTAAATATGTGATTTAGGATACCTACCATCTCATAAAGCTATATGTAAAAAGAAACAGAGCAGTAAACACAAAATTCAAGATAATATTTAACCTCTTGGTAGGAAAGAAAGAGGTAGTAGAAGGGGAACAGGCACTTCAAAGGTATTGGTAGTGACTTCCGGCCAAGATGGAGGTGTAGGTGGTCACACTGCCTCCTCAAAAAACCAAAATTAAGGACAACAAAAATTTAGAAACAAAAACAACGAGGACAGAAAATTGAACTGTACGGAAGTCCCAACAACCATTCATCCAGACCGGTAAGAGGGGCGGAGTCGGCGGCCGGTGGAGAGGGGTTGAGGCACGAAGAAGCGGTGGTTGGCAGACCTGGGCACGGAGAGGCAATGGGCAGACCCAGTGAGGCGCGCAAGGCAGATGGCTGTCTGCAGTCACACATTCACACGCAGATAAACCAGGTGAAAATGGGCAGCAAGACAGGCTGCACAGCCCAGGGCCCCAGTGCCAGGAAATAAAGCCCAAAAGTGCTGATTAAAAACACTTGTGGATATAAAAACAATAGTTTTGATATTTCCCTCAAATTGAAAGTTTGAGTGGAATACTATTTGCTTTATTGTCATTTACTCTAAGAATAAATTCAATTCAGCTCCAACAAAACTGGCCAAATTCCTGCTAGGCACCACTTCCTGAGCTAGGTAATGTTTATTAAAAAGTAAGACAATTAGGCTTTATAAAGTGTTCCCCCTGATATTTTCAGTACCCAACTGGCACTATACATAATTATTACAATATTATTGACTGTGATTATTTAAGCACCAATGCTATACAACTGAAGCTAATACAAAATAATATGGAATGTAAACTGCAATTTAATATTTTTTAATTTTTTAAAGAATAAATTAATTGTTAAAAAGCGAAAAAAAAAAAAAAGAAAACACTTGTGGAGATTGAGGTGTCGAGAGAGACTCCCAGCCTCACAGGAGAGTTCGTTGGAGACCCACAGGGTCCTAAAATGTACAGAAGCTCACCCACCTGGGGAACCAGCACCAGAAGGGCCCAATTTGCTTGTGGGAAGTGGCAGAGTGGACTGAAATCCAACAGAGAGTGGAGAAAGCACCATTGTTCTCTCTCTGACCCCGCCCCCACCTACTGTGCACAACACAGTGACTGGGTTGCCCTGCCCTGGTGAACACCTAAGGCTGTGCCTCTTATACATAACAGGCACGACCAGATCCCCCCCCCCAAAATGGCTCAAATGGAAGAACAAGTCAAAGCCTCAGAGCCAATAGTTTTAAGCAACCAAGAGATAGCCAACCTATCAGATGCACAGTTCAAAACACTGATGATCAGGAGGCTCACAAAATTGGTTGATTTTGGTCACAAATTAGATGAAAAAAATGAAGGCTACACTAAGTGAAATGAAGAAAAATGCACAGGGAACCAACAGTGATAGAAAGAAAACTGGGTCTCAAATCAGTGGAGTGGACCAGAAGGAAGAAAGAAACATCCAACCAGAAAAGAATGAAGAAACAAGAATTCAAAAAAATGAAAGGCTTAGGAACTTCCAGGACATCTCTAAATGTTCCAACATCCAAAATCTAGGGGTACCAGAAGGAGAAGAGGAAGAGCAACAAGTGGAAAAGTTATTTGGCCAAATAATAAAGGAGAACTTCCCCAATTTGGCAAAGGAAATAGACATCCAGGAAGTCCAGGAAGCTCAGAGTCCCAAAGAAGTTGGACCCAAGGAGGAACACACCAAGGCACACCATAATTACATTACCCAAGATTAAAATGGAGAGAATTCTAGAAGCAGGAAGAGATAGGGGGACAGTCACCTACAAAGGAGTTCCCATCAGACTGTCAGCTGATTTCTCAAAATAGACCTTACAGGCAAGAAGGGGCTGGAAAGAAGTATTCCAAGTCATGAAAGGCAAGGACCTCCATCCAAGATTGCTCTATCCAGCAAAGCTTTCATTTAGAATGGAAGGGCAGATAAAGTGTTTCCCAGATAAGGTCAAGTTAAAGGATTTCATCATCACCAAGCCCTTATTATAGGAAATGTTAAAAATGGAACTTATCTACGAAAAAGAAGATAAAAAACATGAACAATAAAAAGATCAAACTCAGTTATTAACAACCACACCTAAAACAAAAGCAAACTAAACAAACAACTAGAACAGGAAGAGAACCACAGAAATGGAGATCACATGGAGGGATAGCAACAGGGGAGGGGGAGGAGAGAGGGGGAAAAGGTACAGGGAATAAGTAGCATAGATGGTAGGAACTAAATAGAGAAGGAGAGGGCAAGAATAGTATGGGAAATGTAGAAGCTAAAGAACTTACGACACGTGGACATGAACTAAATGGGGGGATTGTGGGTGGGAGGGAGTGTGCAGGGGGCAGGGGGGATTGTGGGTGGGAGGGAGTGTGCAGGGTGTGAAGGGGGAAACGGGACAACTGTAATAACATAATAAAATATATTTATAAATAAATAAAAATGCCAAAAAAAACAAAAACAAAAGTATTGTTAGTATTCCACTTGTGAAGCTGGTGGTGGCAAGTCTATGTATAATATTACATACATCTTACCATTGTGTTGTATATACTACCTTTGACTTCATTTGGGGTGACTTTACTAGAACTTTAATAAGTATTATTGATCTTTTCAGAATTTAATCTCGAAGGTGTCAGGGGCCTGTGAGATCCATAAAACAAATTCTTCTTGGGAGATTTTCACCAACTGGTTGTTGTTTTTTTTTTTAAGATTTTATTTATTTTTTAGAGAGAGGAAAGAAAGGAGAAAGAGAGGGAGAGAAACATCAGGGTGTGGTTGCCTCTTACATGCCCCCTACTGGTAACAATTGGCTAACTGTTTTTCATGATGAATAAAGGTATGGCTTCATGTGAAGACTGAATTGGCTATTTTGCATTTCACTCAAACGTGAAGGAGGAGCTGCACAGGTCTCATCAGAGTAGTCTGTTATGATCTGATGGCATGTGCCCAAGTGAAGACATGGCTCACCCTCCCTCCCTTGGGCAGCCTGGGCAGACATTGTTAACCTGAGTCTTGTGATGTTGGATTCTAGGGGCAACACCAAACAGTCAACTCCCGGAGCAGTGGTGCTCTGATACGGACAAAGAAATGCAACCTAGATTATTTAGCCCTGGACTTCAATTCAGCATCACCAGCCCCAGTACAGCAGGTAGGAAGGAGTTTGTGTCTGAGAATTCGCAGGAGATTTCATTTGTTTAGATTTTTTCTGATGATTCTACCATGTATGTCCTCTTTGGAAATTCTTAAATAGTCAGACATGTACAGTGAAGAATATTAAAATCACCCTGATTCTGCCTCCCAAAGCCTGCTGTATTCCCTCTAGGTTGTGTTCTTTAGATGTATAGATATACCTTGTTTTACTGTGCTTTGCTTTATTATGCTCCACAGATGTTGCATTTTAGGCAAGGCCCTCCACCAGCTAAAAAATAAAACCCACTTTATGTTGATACTCCCTTTATTGCAATGTCCTGGAACTGAACCTAGAACACCTTCAAGGCCCACCTGCATACGTACAAATGTATGTAGTACTCATGCCTTTCAAAACTTGGACCATAAAATTTATAGAAAAAAAATTTTGGCAGAGAAGAGCATGAGGTAAAGAACACTTCAGGCACCAGAAGGGCCTGCTTAGAGAGGAAGTCATAGTTTAGTGTGGCTAGACTACTGGCGATTGGTGACAGGAACTCTCAGTTGGAATTGGAACCCCTCAGTAAAAGTCCTCAAAGGCCAGGTTCGGCAATTTCAACTCTCTTGGGTAGTATTATGAAGAATAAGATCTATGTTGATGCCTGTGGTGAGGATTAAATGAAATAATACATGTAAGTGACACTAACCATTAACTAGTGTTGCCCACTACACAGTGTAAACCATGGGATGAGTGAATGGTAAGCAGTTGACAAGAACTAAATATTTTTGAGCGAGGGATGATCATAATCTAAATCATGCCTAACAATATATTGTTGAGAGAAAGAACTTGCTGAACAGGATATACAGTATAATTCCTGTGTGTGTGTGTGTGTGTGTGTGTGTGTGTGTGTGTGTGTGTGTAAAAAAGGTCTGGAAGGTTTCCCTTCCCTTTTGCCAAATGAACTCCCATTTCTCCTTTTAATTTCATTCCAAAACCTGAACTGATGATCCAGAAAAGCTGGTCAGAAAGATGAGACCAATAAGTACAAAGGTGTGTTATTCAGTTTTGTTAGGCTATGTAATCAAGACAAACAACCCCCAAATCTCAATGTTTTGCAACAGAGAAGGCTTTTCAGTTGTTGCTAATGGGACGGTCCACTACACGCCAGCATCTTGGTGTTCTAGGCCATCTTCAATCTAGGGCCCAAGCCAAAGGAGCAACTCCATCTGAGGCATACTGGTCTCCTGGAAGGGAAAAAAGAGAGATTGCAGAATCACAGGATGCCTCTTTTCTCTACAGGATTACCATGTGTCACTTCCACTCACATTATATTGGTCAAAGCAAGTCAAATGGCCCGAGCAAAGTTGAAGGGAGCAGAGGTGAAAAGATATTTATGCACACACACCCAAAGTATAGTAACTTTTCTGCAGTGAATGACCCAGAAAGAAGGGGCAGCAAATACTTAATAACACTATAATTTACCATAAAAGGGCTGACATTTTCCTGAAATTTTAATTCATGTAATGAAATCTTTTTATTCTCCCCCTTCAGAAACTTCTTTCAGAAGAACACAAAGTTGACTACGTCCAAGTGGATGAGCAGAAGACACAAGCTCTCCAGAACACCAAGCAGGAGTGGACCGATGAGAGGCAATCCAAAGTGTAAGCGGTGTGGGTTTGGACTGTGTGTGACACAGGGAAACTTGGGGCTGGGTTTGAGGTTTTTCTTTTATCCTCACCTGAGGACATTTTGTTTTTCATTTTTCATTGCTTTTAGAGAGAGAGGAAGGGAGAAAGGAAGGGAGAGTGAAACATCGATGCGAAAGAGAAGCATCGATTGGTTGCCTTCCCGTATGCGCCAGACCGGACTGGGGATCAAACCCGCAACCTAGGCATGTGCCCTGACTGAGAATCGAGCCCGCAACCTTTTGGTTATGGGATTATGCTCCAACCAACTGAGCCACATTGACCAGGGCAAGGGTTTGAGGTTTTCCACTAGAATCACACTGATGTTCGACACAGGTCAAGATCCAGAGAGAATGTATAATTTCCATGGGCTCGGCAAGAAACTTTGGGAGAGAGGACCAATTTGTATACATTAAATGGGGAGAAGAAGGACGCAGTGTCCTACCAGAGGGTTCTCTGAGGGCATCCAGCCCCCACCCCACCCCCACCCGTCGCAGAAGTTTTCTTCTCTGGCCACACTTGCCCAAGCCCAGAGCCTCAGGGATGCGTAGAATTGGCTCCACAGGCACAAGAGACACAGATGGAGGATTCCACAGCCACGGACTGGGATGTAGAAAACTCCATTCATTCAGACAGGGTAGGAACAATAAAAACAAGACTTAGGAGAATATTATGCCGAGTTTGGTTAAAAATCTCTCCAATGGAGAATTTGGAGTGCATATTGAAGCCAGTATTGCTAACTGACAGGAAGACATCGCTTGACTCCAATACCTGAAATTGACCTCTCTCCTGTGCTTCCATTGAAATTATAAATTTTCCTAGCAGAGAAGACCCAGGAGGTCATCTTGTCCTAGCACCTGAAGACACAGTTGAAGAGATCAAGACCAGCAATGGTGGGAGAGTCTGCACTCCTTACACCATAGACTCCAGCAAACAAATAGTTTCTATCTCCCAAAGAAAGACAATTCAAGTGATGGGGCAGTGAGTCCTGGGCACTGTGATAACCATATCAGATGAAACGAGTGGCTCTAAGGACATAATGTTTGGAGCAGCCATCTGTGGCTGGGTATTCCATTCCTGTTGACCTTTTTCCTGCATGTCTTCATGTGCATCATACCCTGTCTTCCTCTAAAAGACCTTAGAATCTTGGGTTGCAGATATTGTTGCTGCCGTTTTGAAGAAAAGAAAACTGAGAGCCACAGGAGGGCCCACTTTGACCAAGATCACTCATGGATCCGAGACACAGAGTCAGGTTTAGAACAGAGCTGGCCAGGCTGCCTGTTGCAGGCTCGTTCCACTATCTCACCCTGACTCAGGATTTTGAGGAAATCGATCAGTGTGGCCAACCTCAGAGACCCATGGTGACATATGCAGATATGAGATGGGTCATCATTTCCTTTCCCTTTCTTAGGAATTTGAGTAGGTGTTTTTATACTTGAAAGGTATGTGTGTCAAACCAGGGTTTCTTTGCATGGTATTCAAATGGGAAATTCTGACATAATCAGTAATTACCATCAGAAATAACTTGTAACAATTAGTGTGAAACCCGTTCTTAGATTGCATGGTGAGCTTGCAATGTGTTTCCTGTGAGCTCGCTAATGCTGGCAAAAGAATTGTTGCCACCTGGGAAGGCACAAATTGTCCCTGCCTATTTCATGCTGGACCCAGGCTTTTCAGTGATAAAGAGTTATGACTAGGAAAAAAACAAACAAACAAAAACCACTGAGTTGCATCCTCAGGTTTCCTGGTTAATTTTTTCCTCTGCCTTAGCGGGTGTTGGGGTTCAGGGGACTCAGATGAAAGTCTCACCTGGGCATGTGATTTTACTTGATTTTTCTTCCTGATCCTTCTGAGCACCTGTGGCCAGAAGACAGATCTGAACAACTGCGAGTTAAGCAGCTGCTGCTCCAGTGTTTCGACTGACACTGTGCCCTTTATATGAGGATGAATCAAACAGACAGGCAGGTCTATGACAGTCAGGGTTACTCAGGGCAGTTGTAGGCTTTGTTGTGTGGTTTGGGGGTTTCAGAGTGCCCCCAAAGTAAGTAAATGCCAAAGTCTTATTTTATCAGATCATAAAAGAAGTAATTTTGATGTTAAAAGCAGCAGGATCTTGTAACATAATTTCCTGGAGCAAGGTTGGGGGAAATTGCTGAGTCGAGTCCTTAGTGAATGCAGACAGAGCAGGAAGAGGGCTCTGCTCAGTCCATGGCCAGCTCCATGTCACCACACACACAGACTGGAGCCTGTAAAGAGCTGCCTTCTTCCCTAAGTAACTTGAAAGAGTCACAGAGCCCTCAAGCAAGAATGAAGGGCTGCAGACGGGCAGTTCTCATAGATGATAGCTTCCTCATATGTGGGGCACCTGTGTGTAGACCACTGAGTGAGTACCTGACACAGGGCAGTGCAGAAAAATTGCATGCCCAAGTGTCAAGAACCACACCAGATTGAAAATAGAATGAAAAAGAAAATACAGCTGAAATTATGTTGATAGTGAAATGTCATTCAATTGACAAAAGAGAAAATCTGTTTGTATAAAACATTTCCATAGCTACATTTACTGTTGAAAGCAATATGCATTTCAGTGGTATGACTTGTTTGGAAATGATTAATTTAGGGATTTAAAAAAAATGGATGACTTCACCCTCATTTTGAGGGTATATGCAATTATGTCCTGCTTTGATAAAACTGCTAATGGAAGGCTACTCAAAAGCATTGTGATTCAGGAATACAAAGTACAGGTAGTTTTTCAGCTGACAGGAGCATCTGCTCCTGAAAAAGTCACCACGAGTCCAAATGATGCTGGCCAAATCTTGTTTTTTGGTGGGTATAATCCATGTGTAACAGAGGGTCATGGTTTTGACCAGGTTCTGAGATTTTTGTTAACCAACCATCCCAGATTCCATTTCAAGTCACGTGCGTATGGCGTGCTTGTACACTGTGCAGGCTGCTCCTTTCTAGGAGACTCGAGAATCAACAGAACAGGACAATGCAGCAATTAATTCCACATTGTTTTCTGCAAGTTCCTGTTCGTTTTGTTTCCTTCCATCTTGTTTTGTTAGGAAATTCCTCCACTTCAGGAGTTGTGCAGTACAAAAGGGGGTACTGAGGGTCTCAAGCCTGCAAGTCCCTAAGGCCACAAACCCACAAGAACTTGGAGAGTTTACTTTTTCTTGAGAAGGGATGTGCCCTGGGGCCCAGCGTATTGCCGGGCTTCAAGGGCATGGAGTGAGCCAGTGGGAGTCTGTCCAGACCACACTACACTGAGGAGCCAGGATCGACTGAGTTGTGGTCTTTAGGTTCAAGCTCAGACCAAAGGCTCCCTGCAGACCTGGCTATCTCCTCAAGGCTTCCACAGTCCCCATTTATAACATCTTTGTACCCACAATCATGCTGATTTTAAAAGTTCATTGTGTTTTTACTATTTTATTTCTGGTGTTAATAAAAGTTTTGTAAGGAGGAATCATGACTTAAGTTCCTTATTTGTTTTTAGTGATGACATTCAATATAAATACAGAACATGTTTTGAAAGCTGAGTATGAAAATAAACCTCATTGCCATTTTCAGTTACAACAGAGTTAACAACTGACTCATGTGGAATGACCTACATCCATGTAATTTCTCTGCAAACAATTGAGCAGGTGGCTGTAATGAGCACTGCTTCTGCTCAGCCAAACCACATCTTTGCACCTTTTTTCTTCATCAGAAACAAACTTCAATGATTGGCAATAAAGTCAAAGGCCTTCCCTGATACCACATGTAACATGAACTTCATCATTAGTGACATTAAAAAGCAAGAACCCCTAGCCTTCCTCTCCCCAGCAGTGTTTTCTTATGCCACCAACTCCCTTTTCTCCATGCCTGAAGATCCCAGCTGCCCTGGCTGCTGCTGGATCAGCAGCCTCTCTAGGCCATGAGGCAAAGCAGGGACAATCAGAGTAGTGGGAGCTCAAGTTTGGGGAAAACACGCCAAAGGCAGAGAGAGGACAGGCCCAGGAAATCCTGGGTCTCAGGGAAAGAAGAAACCACATGAAATTTCTCATCCAGGTGAAGTATGAGGCCAACCAATACAGATGCTTTTACTTGGTCTACACACTCCAGACCAATACCCTGACCCCAAGAAGAGCAGGTTGGCCCAAAAGGCTGAACTGAAACCCAGGGGATGTGAAACATAACGTTTTTAAAAAATGTTTTAATACACATACTATTTACTTATTTTTAGAGAGAGAGGAAGGGAGGGAGAATGAGAGGTAGATAAAAATTAATATGTGGTTGCCTCTCACACGCCCCCTACTGGGGACCTGGCCCACAACCTGGGCATGTGCCCTGACTGGGGAATCGAACTGACAACCTGTGGTTTGCAGGGCGGTGCTCAATCGAATGAGCCAATCCAGCCAGGGCTAATTGTGCCATTGTTTTAGAAATTGAGTTTTAATTTTCTGCAACAGAGACTGTGACATTGGTGCGGGCTGGATCAAGGGTTCCAATGGGGGAGAGAGCAAACCTGAAGTGCAGAATCCCACATGCACAAGTACTCCGTTCATGATAAGGAACACTGAAGAGCCTCAGGAACACAGCAGCCTTTCCAATCAGGGGTGCAGGGTCATTGGGTGGAGATCCAAGTGGACAATAATGAGCCTTGATCCCACTCAGCCACCATGCATAAACATCAGTTCCAGGTGGAACAGAATGGGGAAGGGAGAACAATCACTTCGACCTGCTCCCTCTGCTTTATCAGATCCATTTTCCTTCTATCGACCACTGTTATTTTCATCTGTTTCATGGTCCAAACCTCTGTTTCAATGAGTTTGAGTGTTTGCCTTCATGTAAAAGAACACAGCCTAATTGTTTTATGTCTGTCTTGAAATTTTTAAATTATTTCAATTATTTTATTCTTTTTAAAAATTTAATCTTTATTGTATTTTTTCCATTACCATTTAGTTCCCTTAAACGCCCTCTCCCTGCAGGAATCACCA